CACTCACATGCATCGAAGTTGACATATGACCTTAACTAGCCAAATCACTTTATACTCGATCAAAGAGGATAGATGTAGAGTATATATACCGCTTTTTATGGATTTGCCGGTGAGTTTTCTTGACTCGATAGCTTGAATTTTGTTGTGACGATGCTATCTTGCTCTGATGATGTTCGTCATATGATGGACGAAAGCTTAGCACCTTTCACCGAAATCGAAAGAGATTGCCTCGGAAACAGCGTCAGCATGAATTTTCCAGTAAAGCCAATCGATAGCTGGTCAAAAGGAATCCGTCGTCTTCTTCTGGTGGAACCGACCTTCGGATCTCTTCACCCAACACTTTCACTCGAAATGGAAGTAAGCTCAACAATTATGAAACAATAGATTTCTCGAAACCCAACTTTTCTTCAAATAGGTCACCCTGGCAGTAAGGCTAAGTTGCGAAAACGGGGTCAAACCACTTTTGTTATTTTGTGCCGTTTAATTATGGTTTAAAGAAAATGTATTTGCTATTTTATGGAGTCTCAGAGAAGCACCGGGTTTGACTTGTTGCTGTCCCAGATTTATTGAAGGTCTCCTTTCCACGCATCAGCTAAGACCTATTTCAACCCGCCCAAAATACAGTTTCGACCTTGCCCCATTGCCTCATCAGATACCCCAGCGGTACTGGATGCACTACCCATTTCTTTGGTATAAGCAGGATTTTTGGTCGAATGACATGACAATTCCTCACAAAATGATGTGAGTTAAGAAAGGCTTGTTCTTCTTTATATATTATTCTCTTCGTGTAACAAATTGGGGCTTGATTTTTTCAGATGATACAATGAGGGAAGGCCAAAACTGTTGTCCGGCCTTTTGATGCAATAAATGCCAAAATGAAATCTAAACAAAATCTATCCTTCACCTTATTCATGGTAGAAACAGTCGAAATTAGGCCGTACCACCAGTTTAAACTGGCGCACCTCTTCAACAATCAGACTCCTAACGATTGCAATAAAAGTGGTGCTTGCGCTGAACCTATTTGGTAAACGGGCTCATTTACAAACTGTCCAGACGAACTTGTCGTAGGTATTGGTCAGTTCGAATGTTTATGGGCTCGTTTCCCCAATCTACGCGAACCAACACCAGGTCGCCTCAAGTCACGAAACAAGTGACTACAACATATTTCCTAAGTTTCGAGTCCAGTGTGTCTTACACCTCTTGCCGTAACATGTGTTTGCAGGACAACTGTAATCATCGGTTGACGGCCCCTTCAAACGATACAACATCGAGCACCGTTTGGCAATACCGGGTCGGACTCGGCGGTCCAGCCACCGCCTCCTCTGCCGGGCGGGGTCAGTCACTTCAAACTCCTCCTCAGGCACCATCGTCGACGGACTTTTCGAAAGCAGAAACGACAAAGACAACAAGTCTGAGTGATGGCAAGGTTGCAGGAGAGTTGAAAAGGAGCCGAAACGAAGGGTCCACGCTCAGCGAGGACGTCGATTTGAGGTTCAAGGCTGGCAGCAGCTATCAGATCGTCGAACGCTGGACGCATATCGAGGTTAGACACCGGTGGACGGCAGGTGAGTACCCATGAGCATGAGACAATGACCCAATTTACGCAAATAAATGAGAATCTTCTTGCTTCTCTCCTCTCGGTGGCAGCTACAGAGGGTCGATACTTAAATTCCATCCTGTCGTAGTCGCTTTGTCTGGAGTCCATGCAGAACATGAACCCAAACCAGTTGCCACCTCAACTCCAAGCTAAGCCCAATTCAGCTTGAGACATTAATGCACATTCGCCTTGACAACGTTAATATGGTCATCCATTCGCTTCCCCAGAATAGCCCATAATTTTATTGCCTCCCCAAAATGGCTTATTGGATTTTGTGAATTTCAGAAGCATAATATAATCGTCGTGAATCCCAGTTTCACTTCCTTCAGTCCATTTTTACATACCTCTTAAGGTAAGATCCAAATAGGATTAATAGCATACAAAATCGCAATCAATGCATCAAATAAGGCATAAAATTTCTTACTGAAACAGTTATGAGACATGAAAATAGCCAACAAATCATAGTCATGTCGTGGCAAGGGAGAATATTGTTGAGGCACACTTGATGTACAAATTAAAAAGATGGGATAATTCATACATCGATGGTAGCATACGTTAAAAAAAGGATCCAACTTTGCCGGCAACATTCCCTTCATCTCGTTTTCATTATTCTGGGGTGATGTGTTATTTTAGCCATTGAATTGCTGAGTTGACTCAGGTCATCACCAAGCTGATAAATCTCTTCTGTATGCAGCGAAAAGAAGTTAGAATCAACCAAGAATCAGTTCAAAGGGGTCAACTTCGATCGTCTTCTTCTCTACCCTCGCATAGAAAATGAATTGTCATTTTCCCCAAAAATGCTGGCTGCAAAGAGGAAATTGAATCGACTCACTTTGCTACGATATTGAGAGTGAAAGAGGAATAACTTCTTCCGTCAGCGAATGATCTCTTCTTATATGGTTACTTTTTGTTAAAATGCTTTATTGCCAGCCCAGGTTGCATAGGCTGAATTAAGGACAAATAATGGAGTTTTCCACACATTAATACAAGTATGGATTTCTCTTTCCCCCTAAAAAGGGTTTCTCATCACAGCCGTACTGCAATGTCGACCTCGCCTATGGGAACCTAGGAGAAATAGCGTTGTTTTGAGCGGAAGGGGTTTGCAGATTTGCCCCACTGGCAACTGATGAAGATTGCCTTGGAGTTGTAACTGATGAATTGTACGAAAAAGATCCCATCCGGCAGCA